TTGGAGTTGGCGTCGGCGTCGCTGTCTCAACCTCTCTCAAGTGTTGCACGCATTTCTGTGGCTGCCCCACCCTCCCATGCATTTCATTTAACACTTTATGTGACAGTTAAGTGCATGGAATGTCAAATTTTTGTTTCTAATGTCTGTGTGTTCAGCGGTTTGAATTGAATTGGACATTGGCATAAGGGGCAATGCCTGCCCGCGGTGCAGGCTCTCGGAAAAGGGGTGTACGAATCGATGGGGCCAGCTCGTCATCAAGTGCATCATAAGTGTGGGAAGATTTCTCGGTGTGAAATTTGTTGCATTACCCCAAGAAATTAGTGGGTTCCCATACCTTAACTAATTGGTACAAAGTTTTACTTAAAAAAAAGCAACCCCAATCTAAATAGATCTACAATTGTATACAATTTATCGTCAGATTTTAGCTTATGAGATAAAAATTTTGAAAAACAAATAACAGATGATCACTATATTTTTGTTAATGAAATTTTACAAAACTGTTGAACACTAACGAAAAAGGTAAAATGTTGTTTTATATAAATATTGTAAGACTGTTTAATCATATAACTAGTGGTTCGCCATTTTATTAAATAGGTAGTGACTCATCAGTCTTCTTGTTGCTGGATGCGGATGAAAACCATAGACTCGAAAAAAGACAATTACATTGCTATAGTCCTGTATTTTTTTTATTCACAATATTTCCACACGACCAGTAACTGAAAAGTCTCTCTGGAACATTGTAGGGTTAACACTGTTTTAGTTTTGAGCTAAGACTCTGACAGAACACTGTCACATCCAAATACTATCAATAAACGAACAACATGAAAAACTAATTAAATATGCTAAATAAAAAGAACTCGATGCTAAATTGTGAATATTGTAATTCCTGAGTTATCTGTACTATTTTGTATTATATTTTAACGCTTTTAACAACATAACTACATAACTATCAACATAACTATCTAGTAATCCATTTCAACGTTGTAAGTCTTATAATCAATTCTCAAATTGGGATTTTACAGCTTTCAGCCGAAAAAGTTTAGATTATAATGTTATATTAAGTCATATCTTTAATATACATATATAAATTGTTAAAATATATTTCAATAATTATAGTGGAATATATCGACAGAACTATTGTTGATTTACTAAATAAATATAATTATAAAAATAAAAATAATTATAATTAGTTGTTTATATTTTTTTAAATATCCTTAATTCAATTAGAATGGAACACTGCCAAGGGCATAAATGTGTGATCGCCTACCATCCCCACCAAAAAACGTATACTCTTACACTTTTCCGTTAAGCGTTTAAAAAATAATTTCTAACAATTCTCTCTCATCGTTCATCTACATATATGTAGGTTTGTTTATATGTATGCATGCATGTGTGTGTTTAACATGTCATCATTAATTGCGCGCTGTCATGCAGTGGCTGCCATTGCTTTGTGGGAGAGAGTGAGCGAGAGAGAGAGCAGCCAATGAATTCACCTCAAAGAGCGCAACAGGTGCAAAGCGACCAATGCGAGCGAACCTAGCAACGCACCTAGGCAGCGAGTGCTGCTGGCACACCTCGAAGCGACGTCTGCTCATTAGTACACCCACACATTCACACAAATACATAGGCAAATGGCGCTCACAACAGCAAAAACAAAAGCAACGGCAACAACAACTAATTAACATACAAAATGAAAGCGGCAGGCAGTTGCTGAATAACAACAACAACAACAAAAAACAGCAGCGAAGTAAGCGAGCGTGTGGTCGGTCGGTTGGTCGTTTAGTCGGCTAGCAACCGAGCGCGCCAAATGAGAAATTTATGAAGCTCCACCTTTTTAACCACACACACACACACACAAATGTCAGATGTATGGCTGTGTATTTGTGAGCACATATGTTAACCGCATTAAATATTAATGTACAAATTGTTTATTATGTGGCCGCGCTTTGGCTTTATTTTGATATTTTCGTCTGCCAGCACAGATATTTCCCCATAATCTCACATACACACAGAGAGACATACATATACATATATGTATACATACATACATTTTAGGCATTCATATGTATATTTGAGTTTTTATAAGTATTTTTTGTTGTCAGATTTCCATTGCAACACTTTGAGGATTTTTGCGCCCAGCGACTTGTTGATTGAGTCAAGAAACCATTTTTGTGCCGCTTCTTGCTGCTTTCTGTTTATGGCTTGGCTTGTTTGTGCTTTTGACGTGTTTGATGGACATTCTCAAGAAGTGTGTATGTTCTTTTTCTCCTCAATTTTTTTTTTTTGCTTTTTTTTGAATGGGTTGTCATATATATGTATATATGTTTGGTTGTGTTTGTGTGTGTTGCAATATCGGACTGCAAAGTGACTGCCACATCTGTTGCTTTGATATTTTTTAGCAGGAAATCCAACACACACAAATTTTAGACATGAATTCATTCCGTTTTTATCGCAAGTGCAAACGACGCTTCCGTTGAATCACAAAAAACCGGTGATGATTCAAAGCTGGTTTCATTTTTAGATAAAACATTAGCTTTACTTAAAAATATTAAACAGAAAAAGCACAAATATGCAACCTCTATATATTCGTATGTACATATTTATAATATTTGTTTCTTTGTCGAATGTACATACAATGGAATTATAAGAATGTATTTCTGCTGCCATCAATTCAACAATGCAGGCAACTTTTTAACACGAAACAGCCAAGTTAAAAATTCGATCGAGACGTTTGTAAATAATTATCGACTTTAAGGTACATTTCTCGCCAAGCAGAGATTTGTGAGTGAATTCAACATAGACGAATTTTCTTCGCAAAAACGAGTATCTCAAGCATCAAAGTTGCACGAAGGACTGTCCGAGTCCGATAAATTCAAAGATCGAGAAAAATCCGCAAATTCTTGCGTGGAAGAAGCTTCACAGAACAAAAAACGGAAATTGACTTCTAAGAAATTATCGGGGATAAAATGCCTTTAAACAAAGATGAAGAATGAAAATGTAAGGATTATTTCGACACCGAGGACGTTGAACAGACTCGTTTTAGTAGCTCTTCACCGAAAAAAATAATAATTCAAAAATCCGAGTGAAATTATACCTTTTAAAATAACTATCATAGATGAAGGCAAACAAGATTGTTCCGCCTCAAAAAAATGATTTGTTGACTCCATTTCTTAAGCAGAGAAATCGTCATCTCCGACTAAAACACAGCAATCTACTACTTCTGCAGAAACGTCTCTACAGAGAACTAATGATTCAGAGATAAAGACAAAGCACACACAACAGCAGACTTTCTGCAAATATTGTTCAGCTCAGAACTGAACATTATTACAACATTGAGAGAAGGTAACATACAATGGAAATGCTCTGCCATGCTTTGCCACCAGCTTGGCGGTTAAGAACAAAACTTTTCGTGGACTGCACTGCATGCCGATAGTTGGAGTTCCTTTCGAAGGGCTTCTTCCCCCACAAGACTTGTTTTCAAACCCTTGGAAAGCATAGGAACAATATCTGCCCATATAAAACCTCAAACATTTTAACATCAACATAAAAATAAACTTACAAAATTAAAGGCGTAAAACTCCTTCTTTTTCAAAGAATAAATTTTTAACTTACTGCTGTGCTCTTCTTTTATTCTTTTATTTATTATTATTAAAAACGAACTGACAGCTTTTGTGTAAAACTAGCCACGATTTCGGATTTATTTGGACCCATCACATCAGAACTTTTCAAACCAAAACTTCTATGGTGGGCTGCGAATAAGAAATTCATAGGAATTACATTTATACAAAAAACCATATAACTTAAACTATAAAATATTTAAAACATAGCTGAAGGCTCACAAAGCTGTGCTTATATTTCTGTTAACTTAACATTAAATACTACATTAAATAAATAAATAAATGTTTCTAGTTATTACTCTTCTTACACTAAAGCTTTCTAAAACGAAATGCTTTGAGCAAAACCTAAAACAATTGAAAAAGCAATCGCAGTAAAGACTCTTACGTCGTGAGCTTACGTCAAAACGTAACGTAGGCAGCCATAACAGCGCACTAACAGTTTACGATAAAGCTAACAGTAACAGAATAGCACTCTGAGCATTCTCCAATTGGAGAGCGTAACACAGCACCAACACACACACACACACAGGCAGATACGCTCGCACACAGACAGATGGACAGGCAGCGAGGCTAGCGACGACTTCGACACCATATCACCTCGGCAGCGACGTCGCTGTCGTCGTCCACCACCACCAGCACCACCAACACCACCGCTACGCCACCGCCTGCCTCACACACATGGCTGGCAGTCAACAAACGGTGCATTTACACCGTTGCCGTTATATGCTGCTTAAGCATTGTTATTGGTGTTGGTGGTGGACAACACACATTCGCACACACACACAGACAGTTACAAGCGATACTCATATAAATTCGCTCTCTCGTTCGTTTATCGTCGCTGCTCCTGCTCGGCCCGCTGTGCTGCTGCTGTCGCTGCTATGATGCTGCTGCTGTTGATGCCGCTGCCGCTCACTCAGATACTACGACGACGGCCACGACTCAGAAATCAACAGAAGCCACAATTTAGTTGAATTTTAGACGTCGCGTCAGCAGCACACGCGCTGCTCCCCCACAGCGCACATTTAAAACAAAACACACAACAACAGATAAATACCAAAAAGAGTAAAAACACCAACAATCAAATTATTCAACCCAAAACTACAAGTTACACTTCAATTTGAAAAAAAATATATATATAATAATTATTATTATTCCCCCACAAAACCGCCAATCGCGACGCAACAATAAAAATTTAAAAAAAAAAGTATCTGTGAAATGTTGGCGGAAAATGTCTAGTGCTCTAGTGTCCAACTAATTAAAAAAAAAAAAAAAAAACAACAACAGCAACAACAAACTGCGCTCAGTGAAAATGCAAGCAAGGTGTTGGCATTCAAATGGCCCCTGCACGCGTGTGCTTACTTAAATCTCTAGTGTTAGCTCAGCAATTCTAAATTAAACTCTGAAAATCAGGTTGAGAAACGTTAGTAAAACAGCAAATAAAATATAAATAAAATAGCCGCTACAACAACTACAACAAAAAGCATTCCAATGTTGAGCTGTTTGACGCCGGGGTCTTCACGTTTTGGCCAAGAGGATAACATAATACAGCAAAGCATGCCATCGCCCACCGATTTCTCCATGCAGTGTAAGTGCAAAACCTATATAGTAGAGTAATTACTATGTCCACACATATATATAAATCAAGCAATTCAGCCCAACTTTGTTGCCCAACAACGATCATGATGATTCATACATTCAACTCAATTGGAAAGCAGGGCGAAATTGTCTAGAAATGTATTTCATTATCAGAGTCAAGCAATGCAATTGAACCGAGCTTCTAACTGTCTATACACGTATGTATATAGTATATGAATACATATATGAATAGGTACATATATGTATACGAGTCTGTGCTTTCTGGTTTCATTCAACTTTGGCTCGAACGTTCACACAATTCCAGAGCTGGGACGCTTAGGTTTATATTTGTTTTTTAACAAAATTGAAGACTCTCACAGAGTTGAATTGATTATAAAGCTTATGCTTTTTTATGTAAACTATAAACTGTATAATCTTAACAAAAAGAACTGCCAACAAGTTAGAGTTACTTATACTTTTAACACTTCTCTTTAAAATGCTTCGTTTGTTTAATATATTTATCATATTATATATCAGATTTCTGTCTTATACCTGCAGTCTAAGCACGAAACTAGACAAATTTAGTACAAAGTTAACAACAAACTGCCGCTTAATTCTATTCTTTATAATCGACTTACAAATTCTGCCGCCTCTTCAATAAGAAATAGCTTTTAACAGGAATCAAAATTAATTTATATCAATAGTAAGGGCCAGAAAAATTAGATCTACTTCAAAATATTTACAAAAATTAATTGTATATTTCTATATAAATTTTGAATGTTGAGAAATTGTTGAATTATGGAAAAGCATCCAAAATCCAAGATGAACTTAGAAAAAAAAGTACAGCAAGTATAAAACTATATTCCTAGCGCTTATTTACAGAATCTAGTGAGAAGTAGACGTGTTTTAGTAAAAATAAACTAACTCGAATTCAGTTGAAATTTTTTTACTTCTACTTATACATCTATTTACGTCTGCTATTATAGATCTTAAGCGGACGATATAGTGCAATTAAAACCAACTACTGTCTACGATTTTACACTTTAACAAACTGAATGACACACTACATTATTATTATAAAAATTCAATTAGGTCTTGGATATCTTACTTTAAAAATACTTATATTTAATTATACGACCTGGGTTCATCCTATAAAAGTAATAAAAAGAAAGAAAATTTTTTCAATTTCTTTAAAATGGAACTTGTTCTGCTTTTTAGATACAAAAGTTGCAAAGGAAGTTTTAAAATGAAACTTATTCGTTTAAGATACAAAAGTTGCAAAGGAAGTTTAAAAATGTTGCTGTGTCTAGTTTAATTTCTTCTATATCAGATTTTAAATAGTTCTTTAATCAAATTTGATCAGTCGCTATAAAATTAAACTATTTCTAGACACAAAAGGAGTTACAAAATTTTGCCCTCTCTCTCTCTCTTTCTATCTAGTTTAAGAGCTTTACGTCCGTTATTATGTTATGAAAAGTTGATCTTAATTTTAATTAATTTTAATTAGATACAATAGTTTCAAAAGTAGCTTTCATATGTTGGTCTGCCTGTTAGTTTGAGAATCTTATTAATGCCTTTTCGAGTGGCCGCCATTTTGCAAAAGTGCGCGCCTTTTGTGGATTCTTCTGTGTGGTCCGAGGTCCCAAGGTCCCCAGCCAACGAATTTTTTGCTGAGTCCACTCACACAGAATTCACCTTAAACCATAAGACGACGCGGCATAAACTCACCAACACACGCACACACAGACACACTCACATTATAAATATATATATGTATGTGTGTGTGTGTGTTTGTGTACACAAAGAAGATCGTTTGTTCGCTCTTTCGGGCGCTTGAACGCATCAAATTACAGTTTTTACCTCCTACGCTCAATCACACACACACACACACACACAAACACACACACGCGGACATACACACAGACTCCGACTCCGATTCAGACTCAGACTCTCAAGCAGGAGCGCGCGCTGCCTTTGAAATCTGCGCTTACGTTCGAGGCTATAAAAAAAATAAAATAAAATGCAACAATTCATGCAAACTTTGATAACCTCAACGGAAAAATAAACACCTTCGCTGGCAGAGGAGGGTAGAAGGGTTCTGAAAGGGACCATCCATGCCATGTTTGTAAACAAAAAGATCGTTCCTCTGCTAATGGAACCTGTAAAAAGTAACTCAAAACTAACCAGACAGCAGCAGCAACGCTGTGGGTCTCCAGACAGAGGAGAAATACATACGTATTTCTATTGTTCTAGCGAGCAAGCAGGAAGCGCTTACCTTGCCTTAATTTTTAATGCCCATCCACTCAAAAGTGTAAGGGTATATTGTTATCGGTGTGTACACATTAGGAAGAATGGTAGACCAACACACTATATATAATCAGCACCCCAAGATGAATGCAGAGAGCAATTTGTTATTGGAACCGGATTTTATATTTTGTTGTGATATCAGTTTAAGATGGATATAGGTAGGGGACTTTTGAGACTTTCATTAGAATCAATGGTTGATCAAAATATAGCGTGCAGCATGGTGACGATATTTCTGCCAAGATATATAAATCACAACTCTATTCATAAACAAATTGGCTGTCATTTAATTCAAGTTTTTTAAAAATTTGGCACAACAATTATTCCCTATTCTTAATTTAAATACTCTGTAACTTCTTCTTCCCATTTTCTTAAACAAAATCATTGCTTTAAAAAAAATTAGAACGACATGTTAATATTTTAATTGAACTTTCTGTCATTTTTGGGATTTTTACCAAATTATTGGTCTCTTTTATTTTAATATGTTGTTCCACTCAGCAGCTAATGCGCTTTTCAGGGATTCACTGAATGCCATGCTGTGCTTCCCTATATTTGTCTCGAATAGTTTCCAAGCATGACTTATGAGATTCAAATACCGTGACTGGACTGATGTTTAAACTTTTTTGTACATTTGATTATTCTTTTACTTCTTATCGATATGCACTTATTCGATTCGCGCGGGGTGATATTTTTGAACCTATTGCAATCACATGGGCTTTGGATAACCGTTCTATTGATTTCTCAGGATTTAAACCTAAAAACATTAAAGAAATCTATCAATAGTAAAATGTTTTATTTAGAAGAAAATGAGTATATCTATAATTAAACAGTTCTTTCTATAAAAACAGAGTGCTTTCTATCAGAATATACTTCTAACTATAAAAAGAAGAAGAAGAAGAGTCTTTTTTTCTTTGAGTGAACCATTTCTGACAATTGCCTGAACTGACAATCTTCAATATACTTAGATCACTTTATCTTAAGCATCTGCGAAACATTTTATTTAAGGAATTAGAAATTCCTCACTTGTAAAGGGAACTATGAATTCAACTAATTGGATTATACGAACAAAGTGGGGTACATAGTAACCATTAAGAAATAGTTTGTCTTGTCAGGCTCGCATCACAAGAATTTTTTTCTCTTAAATAAACTATTCTAAATTGTTTGATTTGATTTGATTTGCATTTTGGCACACAATACACGGTGAGGTGCTGCCTTGAATGACAGTGGGGCGACAATGACGAGAACACACACACACACAAACACACATGTGGCGCAATCTCCACCCACAATGCACACACAAACACACGCACACACACACACACACACACACGTGTAGAGACGACAGGTACACAGCTACCCCTAAAATCAGAGAAAAAATCAGCCATTAGCAAACGCTCGACCGCAAGTCAAGTGTAGCGCCTCCTACAAGTCAACGTCAGTTTGTTTTGTTGTTGCGGTCGTCATTGTTGTTGTTTCTGCTCACCTGAGACATGCGCATGCGAACAGGTAGCGCGTTAGAAGCAACTCTCGACAGGTAGCAGTTAGCTACAGCTTTCTCTCTCTTTCTCACTCACTCACTCATTCATTCATTCACTTGTTTCGGTAAACGAAAAACACAAACCGGTTACAAAAAGTTGACTTGCTGACCAAATGAGTTGTTCGGCACTTTATGGCCGACGATTCAGCATTCCTCTTCAGGTTTGTTGGCCATTTTACAGACAGCTAACCATTTTGTTTAAGTCAATTGTTTTGGATTTTTAATAATTGGGTTAATGACTTATGAAATTGTAAAAATGTAGATTACTTTTTAAAATTCGCTTTCTTGCAAAGTAACTTTTTCTTAAAGAACAAACATCTGATTTTAAAACAATATTAAAATATTATATTCCGTTTTTTATTGTTTTATAATTTTCATGTGTAAAAATGTAGATTACTTTTTGAAATTCGCTTTCTTGCAAAGTAACTTTTTTTTAATGAAAAACATTTGATTTTAAAACAATATTAAAATATATTCTCTTTTTATTATTGTTTTATAATTTTCATGTAGCTGCATAAATATAGAAAAAAAATACAGACGAATGGATAACCTCCTCCTTTTTTGAAGTCGGTTAAAAAGCAACTTAGCCTCTTTTCAAATTGTTTCAATTAAATAAATAAGTACTATAAATAGTTACCTTTCTGTATTTGGAGAGTTCGATTACTGTTTTAGTTCCATTGCTTACCATTGTATATTTTTTAATCTAAAAAATAGGAACAGAAAAAAACAATTAAATGACAAATTTGAATAACACAAAATAGTTTAACGAAGTGGATTAAATCTAAATTACGGCTGGCAGAAAGTTACAAAAAAAGAAATGTTGACACAATTATCGAGTTCTGCTTAAGCTACGGTCGCACATGGAAACAATTTGCATACAATTTAGAAAAGAAGATCGCAAAACAGTTTGTTGTAGCAGAAAATTACATATAAGTAAGAAATATATATTATATATTATATATTAGTTTCAATTGAAGCAGCATGCTTTTCTACGGTCACACATGAAAACAATTTGCACACAAATTTATGTTATTTTAAAAGTAGTCGGCAAGCAATTAATTGTAGCAGAAAATTGCATTTAGTTTTAATTGAAAGTACCACTCTGATCGTGAGATACATATTAGCAAAATGCGACAAATTATTTGCCTGTCTGGCCGTAACTTAAGCTA